TAAAAGATGAAGGTAAAACAATTTTACGACCGATGTTGGAACTTCTAGTCTCACCCATCTCAACGCTATCAACAATTCCTTGATAGAGCTCAGCTCTTATATGTGCTTGATTATTTCGAAAATAATCTAAACGAGAAGTTTCTATCTTTATGTACATGTCAACTATATACTGTTGTAAGAGACGACCAGCATGAAGAAGAATAGAGTTACCTGTATTTCTAATCTGAAGTTTATAACAATAGTACTCTCGGCATGACACAGTTAAACGCTTACGTTTTTTTTTCAGAGCTGCAGCACAATAGAAATATAAAAACACTGTAAATACAGGTAATTACATGAAGCTAGAAAATGCAAAATAATGAAAAAATGAACAGAGCATGAACCTGCGTTTTCTTTTTCAATAAACTCGGTAGCTGAACTAACACTATGGATATCATTAATGGTATCATTGACAATCGAAATGTTACATTTTTGTGTGTCAAAATATTCAATACCCTCATGCCATCCAGGCTCCCCGAATGGGAATAACAAAGGATACTGAAGCGGATCATAACACCCAAAGTAGTAATGGACTTTATGTGCATGACCAGAATGACAATAAATAGATATGTCTCGAATGTGAACATCTGCGTTTGGATCTTCATCAACCCAAACTGCTGCAACTTGAGAAGTTGATGGCGTGTTAAATACTCGTTGGTCAAGACCAGGGTCACAACGTATTTGTATTTTATATGTTTCTAAAGCTTCTATGCTGTTTAGTGAGCGAAAGAATTTTGCATAAGGATTAATTTGTAAAATATCCAGTAATTTTTGTAAGAGTTGCTCACTAAATTTGCATGAACTTTGAAGACGATTTTGTAATTCATTTTCAGTATCAAAAAAATATAATTGTAAAAAAGATGGTTTCCCATCAATGGGGACTAAATTATTTATGTAATGATAGACTTGACCTTGAACTCTAAAAGTGTAAATCCCTTTATTCATCCTGCACAAGTCTTTATCATATTTTACACCGAACGATGTGAATGCAAAGAGATTATTATAGCTTCTACAAATAGTTCTAAAATGTAGCGACTCATGTGTGCTTGATGTATACAAATGGAAAAGTTCATTTTACACCGAACGATGTGAATGCAAAATGATTATTATAGCTTCTACAAATAGTTCTAAAATGTAGCGACTCGTGTGTGCTTGATGTATACAAATGGAAAAGTTCATCAGGCACAGTGTTATCGTGCAATCTAATTTTTCCATTAGAACAACAAAAGCCATTGCTTTCTCTATGAAATTTCTTTGCACCACAAAAACAACAAAATGTAGGAGGGTTCAATACATAAGATTCAGTAAGTATTGGTTGTATCTCAAGTTCTATGACATCTGTGTTATACATTGTAGTTGTAAGAAAATCAAAAGGATAAGCATTTGATTCAGAATTACCTGTAGCAATAATTAAAAACATTTAAACAAAGGAAGATATGACTGGATTGTAAAGGGATGTACTAAATTGTTGTTCTGAAATGAAGATGCCAAACAATAAAAGATTTGTGATTAATTTATACCTTCATCCAAAAGGTGGAATGGATTTGCTATCACATCATCCAAAGTAGGAGGTAATTCCTCTGTAGGACAACTCATGTGACTATACTGATCAGCTGGAAGGAACACAAATCATAAAGTATCATTAAAAACTAACAAATGTAGGTTCATCATAACTTCAAATGGTAATAAGCTTCAAAAATACACTGAAGAAAATAGTAAAATAAGTAAAATGTGTGAAATTGTATTTCGTGATAATATAACTTGCCTTGTATTTGAGAGATTCTTTTGAATTTTAATGAATGAGATCCAGATGGCCGATCTAATTCCTTGCGTTTTGCGTACATCTGTCGACGCCTTTCATTGCGAGCATCCTTTTTCGTCATTGACAAACTAACATTTGGGACATATCTGTTGCTTTCTTTGTTACCATCCATGTGCAAAAGGTTGGCGTTCAACCTTTTTTAAAAAACAATTGTCCATGAGATTTATAATAAGAACTGTGACAAAAGAGGTTCAAAAGAAAGAAAAAACATTGGAGGTAAAAATAACATCGTTAAACATTGAAAAACAACTGGATTTTTACACATGAACTAATAATGATCATCCATCGACTATCATGTTGTGCCAAGTCCATCGACTAATGATATGTGGCAATCAAATGATTTAGATCCCATGCATGGGAAAAATAAAAGAATGAATCGATTTAGTAGATAGGCTAAAAATGTGTGATTAAGGACAAAAAAAAATAAACTAAACAAAATATGCATAATGGGAAATCAATACTAAATATATTCTCGATAAACAATTCTGTACAGTGCAAATGGGAAATCAACACTAAATGTTTTTTCGAAAAACAATTCTCATCATCTCTTTTTTGCAAAGAAGACATCGATTTAGTAAAGAAGGGGTTAATTTTGACTGCAAGGTGTTAGAACTAACGGTAGAAGGTTGATACTTGTTATCCCATTTGATGATTACCGACAAAGCATATCATTTAATGACATTCTAATTACCTAAAGAACAAATTCGCAATTTAGCAAGCATTCTTATATGAATTCATTTAATGCATTGTTCATTTTGACATTTTGCTGACAAATCTTTCAATTTGAAACTGATAGCAAATTCCAAGGAGAACTGTTGACCAAATCATGACAATTTCCCATGTCGCAAGTCTAAGGCCACTTAGTGAAATTGAAAAATTGATTTAGTAACAAGCCTAGGATTGTGATTTGTGAGCAATGGTTTTCTGGTCAACCACTTGACATTCACATACATTGGTTATTTCATATCCTCTTTCAATAGCTAGCCAAATGACTACAGTATCATTACTCACGAGCCCAGTTCACCATTGTCACATTTTAACAAGATGAAAGAACTATATCTTATAAACATTTGGTACACAAGTACTATCAAAAAGAATCTTCACAAGGGGATTATATGCTAGCGATTCACACATAAACCACACAATTTCTAAGTTACACCTAAGTTGCATGCTTCCATTTCTCTACATGAAAGTTACTTCTCCTTAGGTTCTACTTTTTTCTATTATTATTGGTCTATAAGTTTCTAACACTTGTTAATACAACAACAATCCCAGATTTGATTTAAGAAAATAGTACTTCACAGCTCACAGACTTATAAATTTTGTAACATTTTTTTCCTTGTGTCTTCCACTCGACAAATTTGGAATTCAGGGAGGTCGAGGGTTGATATTGAAACTACTCCCAGTCTCCCACCTACCAATTTTCAAATGGTTTCATTCGGGTCAGCCAACACGAGCACCTGTACCCATTTTCCAACTACATTTGACAGAAACTTTACTTCCTCTGGAACGATTTGGATTAAAATGAGTATGTTGAAAAATGTTAACACTTTCCTCACTTAATTGCCCTTTTCTATGTAGAATATACAAATCAAGATTTACGTTGTTCTCGTGCTAGCAAGAGTAACAAAAATCATGACTTTGGAGGCAAACACAAACCCATAGGTGCAGGAAACTGTTTCTCATATCTAAGGTGAACAAATGCATTATTCCAACAATCACTGTAGTCACCATAAAACTCGGGAAAACATTTTGGGGAAAACATTTTGCATCTATCGGTCTATGCATAACTAAACATTTCAACGAACTCTGCATCATTGAATTTAATGTCACTTTCTAACAAAAGCACACAAACAAAATCCAAATAAAAAAAATGAACACTCAGAGGTCGCAATTGGACCTAAATCAACTAAAAATCAAAAAAACGTTCTCTCCATTTTCAGACAAAAAAATAGGAATCTAAACATGAAATTGGAATTACAGGTACGGGGGCTTACGGTGGATGATTGGATTGAGAAACGAAAATGAGATAAAAAGCGATATAGAGATATAGAGACAGAAATAGAGGCACAGACACGAATGTTCCAAGGCACTGACACGAGACACATAGACGCACAGACACGAGACCGCCTCGTTGCCGGGAGAAAATTAAGAACTCACCTTTCACACAGGTTGGGGATGGATGAATGTAGTCCGGTGGGGGCAGTTCTGGTGCCGGAGCTGGACAGCTTTCCTCTCGCAATAGGGTCTCTTCGTTTTCGCGACTGGGAATCGATAGAGGAAGCAGACAGCTCGTGTTGATAGGGCTTCTTCGTTTTCGCGACTGGGAATCGATAGACGAAGCGGACAGCTTGTGCTGATAGGGTTTTTTCGTTTTCGCGACTGGGAGGAAGCAGACAGCTCGTTGCTAGGGTTTCTTCGTTTTCGCACCTGCGAATCGCCAGAGAAGCAGACAGCTCGCGTTCGTGTGGATAAAGAGGAACGGTAGTTTTATTTTGCGGCCAAAACGACGTCGTTTCAGCGGACGGGGTTTTTTTTTTTTTTTTCACGCCAAAACGACGTCGTTTCGGGAGGACGAAATTGGGAACAGTACTTTTCAAAGTGGCTCTTTTATTTAGTAGTGATATTGCTACCACGGTTGCATTGCCGTCTGACCAAGTTGTAATGGAGTAAATATCATGGACAATAAGGTAAAATTTTGTATTCTAATACCTTCGGTCTCTAATTAGAGTTTTTACTTTTTTACTTTACATTATTTTTATAATCTAACAAGTTGTTTAACTTTGTTAATTTTCAGATTTAAATGCATCATTGGTTGGATGTCTTCTCAAAACATGTTATAAGAGTTCAAGAAATTTTCTTTTCAAGAACTAGAACAAGATGGTTCCAATTTGATTTTGTTTAGTGCAATTTCAAGCATATATTACTATTAGTAATTGATGTGTAGATGAAACACATCTAAATTTCTCTATTGAATAGCTAAACTTGTGTATTTCTACGAAACAATATTGATGCGTGTTTTGAAATTTAATATTGGCCGGATTATTGTTGTTCATATCATGCATGGATGCTATTTAATATGTATATATTATAATCAAGAAATGCCGTTGAAAGTGTATGCACTGCATTCAACAAATGCTATAAATTTTAAAATTATGATGGAAAAGGAATGCTATTGAAGATGTAACTAAGTCAATTAAAAAATGCTATTAAAAGCAAAATTATAACAAAAAAGAATGCTATTAAAATAAGAAGATTGCACGAAAAGAATGCTATAAATACTAAAATTATGACGATAACAAAATGTTATTTTAAAGTTTTTATAGCACTTTATAATAGCATTCAAAAAACATTATAATAGAGGTACAACTTTTAATAACACCTACAAGAGCATTCCAAAAAATGCTATAGATCATGATAGATAGCATTTTTCGCAAGCTATAAATGATTTAATATGTTGCAGTGTAAGTCTTATTTTTGTTCTTTGGGTCAATTTTTGGCTCTGCAAACCCTAATTTTGGTTAATTAGATCTTGATTTTCTTAATTGGTGGGTTTGTAGTGCCAAGCTGATGATTTGTTAAGTGGGTGCTTTATTGGATTCATTACTATATGTCGTGTTTTTAATTAGCAGTTGGTTGTCTGGAAAGTCATGAAATTCTTAAATTCCTAAACTTTGTTGATTTTGTAATGTCTAGAAAGGAAATTTTCTTATAATTTACTTGTAACTATTAACTTTATTAATGGATTATTGAATTGGTGATTAAATTCTACAGTCAAATGTAGTGAATTGCAGCTTATTGAGCCATTAGAATAGTTTTTGAAGATTCAATACCTATAGTTGTTTAGGTTTTCATTCACATTTTCATGCAAGATTCAAGGGTTGGTCTCAATTGTATGTAGGAATGTCAAAAATGCTTGCCGGCTCGGACGGTCCGTGGCTCGATCCGAGAAAAGCTTGAGCCGAGCCAGCTCGTGCTCGGGGACCACTGAGAAGAGACTCGGGTCAAGCCCTATTTTGAGCCGAGCCAGCCTGTGTGCCCGTGTAAAGGGCAATTTTGGCCCGCGAGCCGAGCTTTATTAAAAAAAATTTTAAAATAGATTTTAAATTCACGAAATTTAAATTCACGCCTATATAAATTATCACAAATTTAATTTTTCATAAAAAATAGAAATAAATAATAAGAGAGAGTGAAAAAAAAAAAATTTAAGCATAACTCTAATGTTTCTAGAAGGGAAAATGAAAAAAAAAATATTGAAAAAAAAAATACATATTTATTTCTTCTTTATTTGTTTTTTGAAAGTCTTCCAAAATCTTGTGATTAATGAGACAAATTTAAGATTTTATTTGAGTACTTTCTGTTTAAAAGTTAGTACCATGGAGACTTTTATAAAAGTTTCTAAAATTTATAAAAAATTGAATACCCTAAGACTTATAAAGACTTCTAAAAAGTTTTAATTGAATACACCGTGACTTTTAGAGATTTTTTAAAAGTTTATAAAAGTCTCAATTAAATACACCAATACTTTTACAAAGTCTCCAAAAAAATCTACATTGAATACCCCTAAACTTTTTAAATCTCAAAAAGTCATTAAAAGTCTCAATTGAATACACCCCCTTAGTATAAGATGAGCACATGTGCTCATCAGATAATTCATACATACATACATATATATATTTCGTACAATTCCAAAATATATTTAGCTTTTATACAAAAATTTTGCAAACTCACAAATTGTATAATATAAAAACTTTGTTTTTGAAATTTTTTTCTTTATTATTTATAGACATAATATATAATAAATTATTTTGGGCCCCTAGTAAGACATTAGGGGATGGTCTACCCCATCTATGGTCAGGGCCGACACCATTCAAAAGCTGAATTTTATTACATTTTTATAGCATATCATCTCATAACATCACCACTGCTTGGGCTCCATTTTATTTAAAATGCATTTTCTCTCCTTATTTTAATCAGATATTCTCCAATAAAATAATATTATACGAAAATTTAAAATTTTTCATTTATTTTTAATCACACATTTTTCAAAAAATCATTATTCCAAAATATATTTTTCTTCCAAAACACATTTTAATGAAGTCCAAATTGGGGCATAACAACTCAAAATCCCCTTTTATGTCCATAAACTAATTAGCAGTTGTTCATAGTACCAAGTCTACAGTATCGTAATAACCGATATAGTGATAGAGTTGAGTATCACAATAACACATTATTACAGTTAACCAAGCATAAACTATATATTGACTAAATAATTGAAAGAATTAAAACAACAACGAAAATAAAGCTTAAAAGAATATTTATCCTTATTTGTCTTCCAATCTTTTAAAACTTTTTTTTACATACTTATTTTTAATTACATATCAAAATATTCTACACGTAAATCCAAAAATTTTCTCTGCTTTTTAACGATATATTTTCAAAAAGTCATTATTTAAAATAATGTTTTTCCAAAAAAATAAAAAAACAAAGAGAGACCACCAAAGAGAAGCTTAAAGTCAAAACATAACTATCAAAACTAAAACTACATCATTTGTCCTAACTAGAAAGTTTAGTTCATTATCGAATCACAAGAACGCAATGAATTGTTAAGATTTAGAGTTTCATCTTAAAATGTCAATATTGTTAATAAGAGTAGTCTAAACCTTTATAAGTTGGTCTATGTTTTCATTTTTATTCGATATGAGATTCTATTTCTTAACATGTCCCCGCAAGATAGTTGCTCTTTTGAGCAGACTAATCTTGAAATTCGCGTGCTCATTTTTTTTAGTTTTAATCGAATCGAATTACTTGTTGGAGATTAACGGGCTCTGCTATCATATTAAGATTTGAGATTCCATCATAAAATGTTAACCTTGTTAAGAGGAATAACTAAAATCTTTATAAATTGTCTACATTTTCATCTTCCCACATCGAATAAAGATGAAAAATAGACCAATTTATAAAGGTTTGAGTCACTCCTCTTAACAAGATTGACTTTTTAAGATAGAATCTCAAATCTTAACATCGTATCAGAGCTCATTAAATTCCAACGAACAATTCAATTCGATTAAAACTCAATAAAAAATGAGCACACGAATTTCAAGATTGATCTGCTCAAACGAGCCACCATCTTGTGGGGGCATGTTAAATGATAGAATCTCAAATCAAATAAAGATAAAAACATAGACCAACTTATAAAGATTTGTGCTACTTCTCTTAATAAAGTTGTTATTTTAAGATGAAACCTCAAATCTTAACACGAATTTGGAGTACATCATGATTCATGGGTTTTGAATACGTAGAAAGAAAGATGTAGTTGGACGTTGGAATTTGTTGCAGCTTGATCTTCTTTTCTCCCTTCTTGTTTAAATTCTAACCTGAAAACTCTCTCTCTCTCTCTCTCTTCCCCCACCCACCCACCTAAGATTTTGTTAATTAACCTCTTTAATGTCCAAGGCATCAGATATATACCCTAGAGCTAGGACTTTTGTGCAAAACATACCCATTGTAGTACCCCCTGAAAGTCTCGCAAGTTAAGTCAAAACTGGGCAACAACTTCTTAATTTTCGCTGACAAGACAATTTGTTCGCGTCAGGAAAATTGTAGGAGCGAGCATGAGACAATTAATTAAAAGATCACATGCTTGAGTATATTGGTAAATCAATTGGTATAGTAATAGCAACAAAGTAATAATCATCAATTTTTTTTATCATAAAAAACCATATTATATCTGATTAATTTAACAGGTAATTAATTCACGTTAGCTTCTTCAACTTAATCAGACTTCATATTATTTATGCAAATATGTTGCTTAGAATTGTAAATAAATTTTGGTTTGAGCATTTATATGCATGAGATAGAACACTAATCAAAACAAATAAATTTCGTTTTCTTTATAATTATAAAAGTACACAAATTACAAATTAATATAGTGGCTAATTTTATTCCGTTGAAATAAATGAAGACCAGATGATGGTATAAATTTGTATCAAGGAGCAGAAGTCTGAGCATGGTGAGGTCCAATGAACAAATGAGATAAATCTGTCATGGCATGAGATTGCCTTGACATGATTCCAGCAGTTGAGGGATTTTGAGATAAGATAATTTCATATCCATCATGATATGAATCCATGCCTTCTGCCATAAGTTGCCATACTAAACTTCCACTCATTGTTCCTCCTGTTCTTGCAAATCTGTATATATCTCTGTATACATCGCCCATGTATAAATCTCTAGCAGTTAAACTGTATCCTGGATCTTTTCTAGATTTTCCGAATTCGGCTATGACAAGTGGCTTCTTCAAAATTCTTCTAGCATCATTCCAGTGGCTCGACATCCATCTTTCCATAAAAGCCATTTGTTCGTTGTCACTTTTCCCCGATAACCTTGTCACAAATAGTCTTAATTAGATCTGCTCTTTTAAGGTATTAAATCGATTCATATATAAGAAAAAAATTCTCTACTGATTCAAATATATACCTATGGGACAGGGATACAGGAAGAGGAAAAAACTGACATTATAAAAGAATAAATTATTAACTCACCAGATATCAGGATATGCATGTATGGTAGTGAAATCGATCTCTCTTATAAGGTTGTTGCTAATGAAATCCGTCCCGACTTGGTATCCTGGATTGACTTGCTTCCTTTTTGGCATTGTATCTCCATAAAATCCTTCCATGCCAATCTCAAGCAAATGTCTTCTATCTAGGGACTTCACAAAAGTTGCCATTTCTTTAACCCAACCCTGTTATTTTAAGAAATTTTTGAAAACATTAATTATTTATTAGAACAAAGTAAAAATATTTGGAAATGCAAATGACTTGGTATGTAATAATCTTACATTGACTGTTTTTCCAGAGTAATCAGTTTGGCAGCGAGGTTCATTCATGAGCTCCCATGCCATGATCGTGGGATCGTCCTTGTAAGTAATTTTCGTGATGGTGTTGAACCTTGTAACAATTCTCTGCAACATACATGAAGAAATGGGTCATGCTACTTTGCCAGAAAATGGTTGATAGATAGAATGACATAATGGGTGTTAGCAATATGTGATTGGATGAAAAAATTGATTGTGTTTGAATCAGTTCGATGATGAATTGTCATGTAGCATTATGTCAACGATTGTGTCAAGAATTATGTCACTGTAACATGATTCCGATGAAATTACTCAAATTTTGAACACGTTCTAAGTTAATTCTGTCTCCTCTGTTGACATTTGGTTTGTTCACAAAATTGGCTGAGGTTTGGCTTAAGTTAACTGAGGCTAAGTTATTTTTCACAGAATTAAGGTGCTCTATTCGACTTTCAAAGGTCATTAGGACAGATTACAGTTCATGCCAGCTAACGAACTCCCTGCTGTTGATATGGACAACTATGGGTGTATATTCTTCATCAATTCCTGCAAGAACCTTTATGACAAGATCATTGTGAGGAATGCTTTTCCCTGCAATTTCCAAGATGTCAGCTAATTGTTTGATTGTGTTCAAGTATTGATCAATACTCATCAAGCCTTTCCTTGTCCTTTGGAGTTCATTTATGAGAAAAGTGACTCTAGATTTATTCATTACCCCAAAACTCTCTTGGATAGCATTCAAGAGATTCTGTGAAGTTGTAGATCTCATTACTCTCATGGCTATTTCTGCAGTCATTGAAGAGTAGAGCCACCCTATTAGGAGTTGATATGTGGACATCCATTTCCCATATTCAATGTTTGGTGTCATCTCTACTGTAACACCAATTGCATTGCAAGAAATTCAACTAGGCACGCCATTGTTCTAGTGATGAATCCTTCAAGGTTATGCCCCTTGATAATGGACATAACCATATTTTTCCACAGCAAGAAATTATCCCTATCAAGTTTTACCGGAGGTACGTGAGATAGGCTAATTCCAAACATTGGTGCCTGATTTCCTCCCAGCATTAGAGGCATTAGCGTGTTTGATTCAGGTTGAGCAGATTGGGTGTTAACATCGGATTCGGTATTAGTCATTAAAGCTGGGTATGATACCAAGTTAAAATTATGAAGAGAAATACAGTAAGGAATTAAGAAGCTAAAAGAAGGAGATGGAATATATTTCTTTTAATCAAATTAATTTACAAGAATACAATGCCAGCATTATATACAAGATACTGGAGTAGGGAGCAAGGAAGAATAGCAATAACACGTGAAGAATCAATATAGTTACAACAACATTGTGGTCCCAGAAGAAACTGCACGATCCGGTAAATGGCAAATTCGGTAAGTTAGAGGTGAGTGCAAATACGGTAAGTCATAGGAATACCGGTAAGTGTCAATCCGGTAAGTTAGAGGAAATCTGGTGACTGTTAGAATAACATAGTTTAACAAATACACGTTAGCTTCTTCAACTTAATTAGACTTCATATTATTTATGCAAATATGTTGCTTAGAATTGTAAATAAATTTTGGTTTGAGCATTTATGTGCATAAGATAGAACACTATTCAAAACAAATAAATTTCATTTTCTTTATAACTATAAAAGTACTCAAATTACAAGTTAAAACAGTGGCTAATTTTATTCCATTGAAATAAATGAAGACCGGATGATGGTATAAATTTGTATCATGGAGCAGAAGTCTGAGCATGGTGAGGTCCAATGAACAAATTAATGAGGTAAATCTGTCATGGCATGAGATTGTCTTGACATGATTCCAGCAGTTGAGGGATTTTGAGATAAGATAATTTCATATCCATCGTGATATGAATCCATGCCTTCTGCCATAAGTTGCCATACTAAACTTCCACTCATTGTTCCTCCTGTTCTTGCAAATCTGTATATATCTCTGTATACATCGCCCATGTATAAATCTCTAGCAGTTAAACTGTAACCTGGATCTTTGCTAGATTTTCCGAATTCGGCTATGACAAGTGGCTTCTTCAAAATTCCTCTTGCATCATCCCAGTGGCTCGACATCCATCTTTCCATAAAAGCCATTTGTTCGTTGTCACTTTTCCCCGATAACCTTCTCACAAATAGTCTTAATTAGATTCGCTCTTTCAAGGTATTGGGAAGGAATTGGAATGATATAAGATCGATTCATACATAAGAAAAAATTCTCTATTATTCAAACATTGTACCTGTGGGATAGTAATACAGGAAGAGGAAAAAATGGGCATTATAAAAGAATAAATTATTAACTCACCAGATATCAGGATATGCATGTATGGTAGTGAAATCAATCTCTCTAATAAGGTTGTTGCTAATGAAATCCGTCCCGACTTGGTAACCTGGATTGACTTTTTTCCTTTTTGGCATTGTATCTCCATAAAATCCTTCCATGCCAATCTCAAGCAAATGTCTTCTATCTAGGGACTTCACAAAAGTTGCCATTTCTTGAACCCAACCCTGTTATTTAAGAAATTTTTAAAAACATTAATTATTTACTACAACAAAGTAAAGATATTTGGAAATGCAAATGACTTGGTATGTAATAATCTTACATTGACTGTTTTTCCAGAGTAATCGGTTTGGCAGCGAGGCTCATTCATGAGCTCCCATGCCATGATCGTGGGATCATCCTTGTAAGTAATTTTGGTGAGGGTGTTGAACCTTGTAACAATTCTCTGCAACGTACACAAAGAAATGGAATAATAGGTGTTGTAATTGGATGAAAATGCTGACTATGTTTAACATAGTCCAATGATAAAGTGTTATGTGGCATTATGTTAACCATTGTGTCAAGGATTACGTCACTATAGCATGATTATGAAGAAATTACTCAAATTATGAACACGTACATGCAGAGACAATACTCAAAATTGAATTCAATTTCTCACACTAATATGGTTCTTGTAATAATCCTTAAGTGAAATTACTCAAATTTTGAACACGTACATGCAGAGAAAATACTCAAAATTGAATTCAATTTCTCACCCTAATATGGTTCTTGTAATAATCCTTAAGCACATGATTTGTGTAGAAATCATCTTCACTGTTAATCTGTACTCCTGCATTTCTTGCCCATTGAGCATATTGTGGTTTTCCTCCGAAATCATTGTAATTGTTCACGAAGCTCAATATCAGGCGAATCCCATGTTTTCTTGCTTCAGAAATCACAAAATCTAGTCCCTGAATTTCATGTAACATCCATGTTAATTAATAAATAAAATTACTTAACATTGATTTTGAAAATAATTAATTAACCAACCTGAAATACACTTTCATCATATGTCCCGGGAGATATTTGTAGTGCACGATCACCTCCATCACTGAAAGCCCAAGTTCTGCACACAGTTAAGCCAGCAGCAGATGCATCTCTGAATACCTCGGAGACTTTGTACCTCTCGCTCGGATCCGCCGATACGTGCATCATCCAGTAGGCATTGAATCCATTGAATAGAAAAGGCGAACCATCGAGGAGAAAATGAGAATCCCTCGTTGTAACAAACCCTGCATTTCCATTTCCCAGAACCCTAGCTTCAGACGCAAGAACTAAGAAAAATAAAACTCCAAAAACACAACTTATTCTGCTAAAATAAGCCATTAATGATCCTATGATCAGAATGTAATTCAGGAGATGTGATAACTTGTGAGCAAGTATGAACATTTGTGGCAGCTATTTATAATGAGTTAGAGATAGCTAAGTTTGCTAAAAATAGAAAGTGTAGCGTGAAAGAAGTAGTTTTTCGGTGGTTTAAACAGTTAGTAACGTTTATTAATTTTTTAAGTTTCTTCTATATTATGTAGAAAAGTGTGTAGGGTTTTAGAGGAAGTGATAATTAGTTGAAAGAAATTGGCAACGTCAGTTGAAGAAATCATGGGATGACCATAGAAAGAGTTACTAAATATAGCTTGCTTGTTCTATGTTCTTATCCATGTGGGTTGTTTCAGCCATGAAACTGTTATGCATGTGCAGATTTCTATAGAGAAAATGAAATTAATGACTCTTTAAATATTCGAAAGATATAATTTAACTCTCGATTTATGAAAAAGGTCAAGGTTTACGAGTAAGTGTCTTGATCTAGACATGTGACGAAGAATTGAAAAATAATTATTTGAGAAGTGATTAACGAAATAAGGACAATACACTTGAAATCAGACAGTTTGGGCAATGGGCCTTGGAAACACTTTTGTTGTTACACGACATTATCTAGCTAAGTTTACAGTTATAAACTTTGATTTTGGCTCACGTTTTTTTAGAATGTTCAATGGATATATATAGTTAACATCCGTAGACACTATTCTAACTATCATCACTAGTTTGTTTTGGTTCTATTTTGTACATATAGCAATGTATTGCTCTCCGCTTGTATAATAAAGGTTATTAATTATGATGATATATAATAATCTCATCTCGTATATTGTTACTTTTTTCCAAAAATATTTATTTTGATTAACTTAAAAATTTACTAAAAATGTAAGATGAAAGACAACAATTAATTTCGTTAGACTCGCATTTTTTATTAACTTTTCAATTATGCATTTTATGAACTTTTATCGAAATTTGCTAAAATTTTTATCGAAATTTTTGTCAATTAACCCCAAATCTTATTATTGGAACGTTGAAAATTGACATTGACTCAAATCTAATTGAATTTTTACTCAAATGCAATGAGTCTGTAATATTCAAGAAGGTATTATTTTTTTAGCAATGAAGATATGCTTTTAAAATCCAAACTTAAATAAACTAATATATCGAAGATCGGTTGCTTTCTTATTGATATAATAGTTTTTCCCTCCAACCACAATAGAGGGGCAGTTATGTTGATATATGACTTTTGGTGTACAGCCCCTCAATGGTTCTAATTCTAAGAAGGGGGCGGCACTCTGCATCAGTCAAAAAGCTTAAGTGAAATCTATAATGTGTTTTTACTCGCCATGAATTTTTTACGACTTTTCAAAAAGGCTGGACTGATTATGAGCAGGGTTAGCAAATTAGTTCAAATTATAGATTAAGTTTGTTAAGCATATTTTTTACTCTAACACTCACAATTATTACTCACTTGTTATCTATATTCGTAAGATCTAAAACTTATAAACACTTAAAAGCAATCCCAAACACGCTGATGTAACTAAATATATGAAACTACTCTTGGGAATCTGGAGTATGAGATTGGCTGGAACAAATACATCTTTAATAATACATAGAGCCTTACCTAGTCGAAGGTTTTTCAGGTTTTAGGGAATTAAAAGTTATTTTTATCATTCAGTAAAAGTTAAGCTTTAATTTTATATAGACTGTTAGAATTTGGATGTGACTTGAATTCCTTGTTGAAGTAATTGAAAAATTCTAAATGAAATGCATATAAAAAAAGAATTCAGTTTGGAATACTATTGGAGTCCTATGTTAAGTTGAAGTTCTATTTTGGAAGCCCATTGGGAGTTGTAATTTGTTTTGAACTCGATTTTTTGGTATCCTACTTCATTAACAACTCTACTAAAAGGGTTTGGACATCCCCTACATGTTCTCTATAAATACTAGACTCTTCTATACAGTTTTTGGTAGCAATTATATGTGAGAAAATAGATTACTAGAATTATATGATCTATTGTAATTTTCTCTCTTCTCCACTATTCTTGAATCAATAAAATCTCTTAATTCCTCTGCCATATTCTTGTCTTCTTTTATTCTTTTACTTGATCATATATTTCATTATTATTTGTCATATAATTTCAACATCTCAATCCGGTGATTTACGTCACAACATGTGGTATCAATCTTAACAGTTTTAATATAGAATAGGACTTGAATTGACTTGTTTTTTGTTTGT